CCAACATTAACCTTTAGTATGGCAATCATTAATTTTCATTCGATCCAGGGGATAAGATTCTTTCCTTTCGCACTTTAGCTCCCAAGAGAGATAGTATCTTTCAATTAAGCAATGAAATTTCTGTACGAAGAAGTGAGGACGAAGTTGAAACAGTCTATTCCACTCATCTAAAGTACGCTCATTAATTCATAAAAGTGCGATTTCATTTTTGCTTAAATGTAAAAAAAAAAGTACTTTCTCCTTCTCGAAGTAGAAGTTCATTAGTTTTCACGTGAAGAAGTTTCGGCTTCGCTAATTTATTTATAGGCATTGCAAGGATCGAAAAAGATAACTTGCTAATGAGCATTGGGAGGAAGGCAAACGTCTTTTTGTTTTCAACGAAACTTACCTATATGTGGCATTTGACCTAGGCGAACATTTCTCATCTTTCCCTATTCAGGTGTGATATTCGGCCTTCCACGCACTCATATTTTAAGGTTTTAATCTCTTGAATAGTATGGATATACGAAACAAAATGAAATATGAGCTATTTATTGGAAAAAACGGAAATCATTAACAACGATTGCTATTATAGCAAAACTTATAGCTTTCGTGGTTTGCACAAAAGGTGTTTATAATGTAAAGGAAGTAAAAACTTATTCGAGAATAATTCTACCAGTTCTTCTTAAATGTAGAAATGATGGAATGATTTTTAGAAAGCATCACGATGTTCTGAAAATTAAAAAAGTTGAAATTTGAAACTGAACAGATTCTTTATTGGTCTGTTTAAAGTTCTGACTAGCAGAAGAAAAAAAAAGCGTGAAGAGTCGGACAATTCTTCTTATCAAATGAAATTTCACTTATTTCCAAGCCTCTGTTCTGCTTAATTTTGCTGATGAACTTTTCAAAAATACACCTGAATAGTTGCGTCACTCTCTGCATTATCAGTTTCATTTCGCCTTGCATCGTTACGTCTGTTTCGTTCTGCAGTAATTTAAACTTTTTGAGATATTTCAGTTCCCTAGACTTTCCGTCGCAAAAAAAAAGCATGGCCGAAAAACAGGAATACAAATTTAAGTGGGACGGAAAAGAAATAAAGCACCGGTAAGTGTTTTTTTCTGCTTATTATAAAAATTAATTCTACTCACAAATATTTTGTGCATGTAGTAACAAGATTGATGCATGAGTCCATTAATTAATTTTTAAGGGTAATTGGAGGCGAATCTGACAAAAAGTTTGAAAATTGGCGCCGTTCTTGTTATAAAATTTTAATTTTAATCACCATCGATTACATTCGTCAAAGTGAGAATCGTTACAATTAGTTTTTTGAACTTTTGAACTCTTTCCTTTAGCTTTTCCCTGATTTTTGGCTGCTGACAGTCAAACTATTCAGTTTTGGAGCATACTTCCTTTTATCAAAAATTTAATATTCCATTTAGAAAAGTAAAAAATCATTCGTTTATTTAGTGAAAATTTTCTCGATGTACCTTATCCATGTTTAATATGTATTTGATAATAGCAGTTGACAAAAGAAGAAATTGTTACTTATTCTTTCAACATGTCTTCTTACTTTTACCCAATACTTCAGGCAAAATTGCTGTCAATTTTACTTACGAACGGTTAATTTCATCATCGGTGTTGTTGATTTAATTAGCAATTAAATTACAGATGGGAAGGTTTCGTGAAATTTGGCAATGCGTCAGCGGTGGAAATGACAGGGAAGAATTTCGATAAGTGGCTGAAAGACGGGGGAGTGATTGATAACAAAAATATTACTACAACAATGACGGGAATCGCTTTCTCCAAAATTACTGGGTAAAGCTTTTTCGTTGATTCTTAAATTTGTACAAACGGCCCACTACATAACATTTGACGACGATGTTTTCTTCAGTTTCGAGTTTTTTTCATTATCTTTTCAAGTTAACTCATCGCACAGAAGAGTGAGATCTGCGATATCATGAGGAAAAAATGTCTTCGATAGGTAATAAATATACCTTCTTCGCGTCACCAAAGGAAAATAAAGAGTAATACATCCATATGTGTAACAAATTTATTTTGGAAAAAATATCAGCTTTGAGTTTTCTAGCGCTCACTGAACACCAATATATTCATAATTAATGGACAGTAGAAATCAGCTGCTGGTTGAAATTACCAGAAACACCGAAGTTCGGTTCGTGTTTTGTGCCAACTTTACGTAAAAGCAATCAGATGGCACCATTACTGTAACAGGAACGGATATTTGTATTTTAAAAATGGGTCGCTTCCTCTAACCTGTTTCTTGAATTTCAGATCCAAAAAAAAGCAAATTTCAACGAGACAAAAGATGTATTAGTAGCAGTTGCGGAAGACCGAGCACGGACAACCAAAAAGGATCCACAAGTAAATTATTTTAAAATTTGGATAGTCCATAATTGCTTCTTTTTACTATATCACTAATTTCCAATGGACAAATTTAATTGCAAATTTGAATTCCTTAGATGAATTGAATGAAGAAATGAGATTCAATTTTTTGAATTTTTTGTCAAACATTGCCATTTCAAAACCAATCATTACTTATTTCGGTTTATTTTCCCAAATTTTTTGTTTCCTTAGTTACCCTCAGCAAGCAATCGATCAGTTGCTTATATCACCAAAGTGCTAAACGAATAAAGTGAATCCTAGTCAAATTTCCGACGTTTCAAAATATTTGATGACACGTCTTTTTAAACTTAGCACATACACTCCATTCCATCTTCAGGAACTCATCTCTTTTAAAATCTTTTCATTTCAGGAAGAATTGGATATCATCACTGAAAAACTGTCAAAACTAGAAGCTCCATCACTTAAAGGTGTTGCTAAAGCGTCTGCCGATGGTGTGTACAATCGTTTAACGGATCATACCAAATATACCGGTTCACATAAGGAACGTTTCGATGCTGAGGGCAAAGGACGTGGAAAACTTGGCAGGGAGGATATCGTCGAGCAAACCGGTTATGTAGCAGCCTATAAAAATAAAGACACCTATGATAAACTCCACAAAAACATTCAGTGACCCGAAGCTTTTCATGAGGAAACGTTTCTTGGGCCTTTTATCAGCAGCTAGCTGATTAGATGATAGCATCTCCCGGTAGGTACTAACTTCGAAAGTGCATACAAGAATTGAATTGAATTCAGGATATAAGAACCTAGACATTGAGGCAGTTTATGATTTTTTTCTTTTGCGGTCAAACGCGCAGCACAAAGAAGAATGCCCAATGGAGCTTGTTATCATATTTGCCTGTCATTACACTCCACTGAGAAGTCTGTACTAATGTTTGAAATACCAAAACGTATTCATTTAGCAATTTGACAAACAATGTTTATAATTTGATCTTATCATAAGATTCTCATGTTCAGGAAAAGCACTTTTGTACAATTCGTTAAATCTATCGTCTAAATAACAAACGAAGACTTCTGTAGTCTGAATGCAGTTTGGTAAATGTAAAACGCTAAGGAAGAGTACTCATTTTTCTGAAAAACGCAGGCCGTTAAATAGGCAAAACTTATTGCAAAAGTTAGTTCTAACCAGAAAATATACCCTCGTTGATTTTGATGTTATTTGATCAGATATTGCAACATTTAACATGAGCAAACAATAATCCTCACAAAAACCATTTCCAGATTTTTAGTAAATTTCTGAATTTTCTGGTCGTATCCTTCCTCTTTCTCATTTGTTTGCTCTTGTTCAAAAGCAAAACTGGTGCCAGAATATTGCAGTTCTTCGTTTGCTACATATTTCTCTCATTATTACTCATATATTGTGTATTATATATCCACCTAGTTTTACAAGAAATCCCAAACTTTCTTCCGAATCAAAACAAAGAACCACTCCCAGTCAATGATTCACGTTTCCATTAGTATTTCGTGTATCATTTGTAACCCTTTGCCTAAAAATTGTTCACGTGAAACTTAGTTCCGTTTATTTTATGATAGGCATTCCTACTTTTAACATATGAAATGGTTAATGGACTCCATGCATGGAAATGCACGAGTTAAATAATCAACAGCCGACAGTATGGAGTATTCACGAACCTCTGCATACATTAGCTATGCACTCCACTTACCTTCGGTAAAACCGCAAAATAAATGATGTGATGTTCATGTCAAGTAGTACACATCTTCGTGGTACATACAATTCTAACGAAGATAGCATTTCAAAAGTACTACTTTAAATCTCCAAAGTTCTTTCAATGAGTGCAAATGTTCTAAATACACAATAGGGAGAGTAATAATATTTATCAAAAAACAGTGCAAAATATAACCAAATTACTGTCCTCAAAAAGAAAACAAGTTATCGTCTGCCACCACCAATACCTTCCTCGGCAACCTCGCGAGCTTTTTTATCTCGAGCACCTTTCAAACGTTTGTCGGCACGGAGTCGTCGTAAATGACAATATACTTCGAATTTCTTCTCCTCCTCAGTCACTGCACGGGCCTTCTCTCGACGAACAACCTGCTTGACAGGAAGGATGACTCCACGCAATTGTGTAGCTAGCTTAAGTTCATCAGCCTGAAAATCAACCTCCTTCTGTGAGCTCGAAACCTAATAAAAATTCAAGAAGTTCCATAAGAGATCCAAGAAGAAAGGAAAAATAAGTGTATGCAGTACTCACATTACTATCTCCTTTTTTGGGCGCGTTTAATTTCTTCGGGAACAATATTAGTTTCGATTTGTATTCCTTTAAACGTTTAACATTTTGCTGAAAATAACGGAATGCTACGGAACTAGGCCAACCGAATAAATTATCTATGTACCACAACTCTATAAAAGATGATTAGTTATTTGAATGCTATACCCAGATGAATTTCAAACTCCTCACAACTGCGCCACATAATGTTAAAGAAAATGTTTAAAACGATCTAAGTTAACATTATTTATCGTCCCTAAGAAAACTATGCGTAAATAATAATCGGCAGAAGGATACCTGTAAGGATTCCAAAGACCGGTTTGTACGCCTGTAATCTACCGCAATACCAATAGTACGAGCCTCTCGTTTTCCGATGCCAGCCGCCTTCAGCTCTTCCAAGGTGAATCCTCGTCCCAGTCTCACCTTTTTGTTATAACGAACACTAGGACAACGTACTGCCGGTCTTAACAAACCCGCAACGGGACGAGGTGCAATCAGTCGACCTTTCTTGTACCGATTACGCCGTCTACGTTCCTTTCGCGCTGGCTGATTAAACCATGTGCGCACACGACTCTGCCAGTCCTTATGAAAATGCGCATTCGGTATCATATTATTCCCTTTAGGAGCCATTTTGCTACCTACAAAAGAAGATTTAACCATGAAAAAGTCGTAAACCGAACTTATGTAAAACTTGCTTCCAAAGTTTTGAAAGCACAAGAAAAGCATTTCAATGGCAGCCCTGGCTCCCTAGTATTTCAATGGCACATAGCTAGCTTGTATTTTTATGCGAACAATAAGTAGGAAATTCGAAATGGCCAAAAAATCAGAATCTTCGACGCATAGTGGGAGAATCATCTCGAAATGAAATTTGTCTCTAACTTTACTGCCACGTTAACTAGGCCAAAAGGTACTCAAATAAAAACTGGGAATCAATGTCGAGTTGTCAATGATCCGTGTCATCTAGATCCCCACTGAATAAAAAAGAACTTCCACCCCTCCATGCGACAACCCCAAAACATAGCTGTAATAGTGCTGCAATAATCATGCTCCCAAATTATAAACTTCGCACAACGGACTGTTCAGTGGGTTCGGGTCCTCACTGATTGATGTTAAATTTGGTATGAAAACGGGACTTACGGAAGTGTTGTTATGCCGGGAATGAAGATTGGGGGATGAGGGAGCTATTGTGGAGGGGAGAGTTCAGACTAAGACCGGACGCAGGAGAGACTTACTTCGATGAAGAGAGGACAAAGATTGATAAGAATTTACATATGCCTTTCAGATTTCTTTTTAATGTTTCCAAAAGTGGGGATAACCGAAAAATAAAACTTCAAGGGAAAGGAACTAGACATTATTCAGATATTCAAGAAAAACTTTGCTGCAGTTGTAGACGATCATTATGTCAACGAAACACTTGCGGAGATGTTTACAAGAAAAAAAGGCATTCGGAGAGGAGAGGTCATCGGTCCGAGAAAAGGAGGAAAGCTCCGAATCGGCGAGTGAAGAAAGAAGATTGGAACCATTTGTATGTAATAGGTTAGTTCCTTATTTCACATATCTAAGAAGGTCAAGAAGGTGAGTGCATTGAATTAAAGGGCGATACCAGATAAACCTATTCAGTAATAACAATATTTTTAATTCCTGTCTGCAGAAAGAAGAAGGTTCGATCGGCATGAAGTGAAAACTTCATATAGCTATGTTTCGTGTCTTTTTATACTCGTCCGTGTTTCTTGAGCGAAATCAGAAGATATATATCCGGTTTTTTATATTTAAATCTTTCATACCTAAATCTTTTCAGTTACTCCTTGTCATTTTTATCTTTTGCAGGTATGAATTCCTTGAAGAATCTGGGGAAGGAGGAGACGAAAGTTCTGGACCAGTTGAAGAAGCACCGGTAGAGAAGAAGTCGGAAAAGAAGGAAAAAAAATGATAAAGAAAAAAGGAAGGGAAGAAAGAAAGTGCACTGTACAGATACAGATAATGATTTAGATATGTTGGATGTCTCTCCGCTAGAAACTCAACTTCCCAAACTTTGTAATATGGTCTTTGAGAGAGATTTATTTAAGGTCTGTATTTATGCATCCTTGACCAGCTGACTGTACTATTTCCATGGAATAATGCTGTCCCAAACTGTTTTTCATGAAAAACTTAACTGATATGCTCAGCAGGGTTGGCATAGTGGAATTGTTTCCCTCAGCATGAAAAAGTTTTCTAATGCGTGTATTTATAGCTAAGTATTCATTGGAGGATTCGTAGTCAAAGAAACTGATACTTCATATAAGCAATAAGGAACAACTAATCAGGAAGTGAATGTAATCCAGAAATTTAACATGGAATTCAAGACCTTATTCACATATAAAAGAAGTCCTGAATTGATGCAGTGAGTGGATGCAATAATTATTCTAGGTTGACAGTAGAATGCTGAATGTGGAGAATGAGTTACGCTCAATTCTGGGTCGAAGAAGCACAGATACCATTCAACGTGGGCGAGTGGTTTTTGGCAAAATAGTGAAAAAGAAACCAACTTGGCCAGAAGTTAAAAATGTTGGTAAGGCTTTTTAATTTAATAAAGGGATATGACTTTCTTTTTAAGATTTTCCTCCAGATTTATCATAATTGCATTAACAGTCCATTCGGATTGGGAAGATTCAAAAATACTTTTGATGTTCAAGAATTAGACATATCTATAGGAATTCCCCAACCTTTATACTAATTCTTACTAATGACTTTTCATCATGGGTGATGACTCATTTTTATACATGAGGTAGCTTTGGCTATATAAAATTTGATGACTAATATAAAACTTGGTATTAGAGCTTGACACATTTAAGCAAAGGTTCTAATTCCTCTATTCTCTTTCCTCTTCTTCAACACAGGATTGTATTATTCATCTATTGTTAAGGTTTATCAATGGTACTAGATCGCACCGAAGGTAATATATTTTGGTTCAGATTTTCGCATCACGCTTATTATCGTGAATTGCAGCAAAGTTTTTGGATAGCATCAGAATCACTCAATCATAATTTCATATCGGTCTGCTTTTGACTTAACACTATCTACAACGACTTTCAAGAATACATCGAATAAAAGTGATACTGTTTAAAGTTTTTGTCATTACCAACAGCATCAGTATTGGATGTTAAAACTGCATCATTATTGAATAGTGAACTTTTTTATATGAACTCAGTAGCCAAAGTACGGTATACATTCTTGGGAATTCGACAGGATCTCAATTTAATAATCGAACCGTTTTCTTATCTTTATGTCTAGTTGTTTGCTAGACACAGTGATTTTAACGGATATGGATTTAGAATATTTTGACACAATGTCCGTACCACTTAGATAGCCTGCTTATTATGGCCGAATTGTTGAGACAGCAAGAAGATTATCAGTTCGCTCGTGATTTAATTGGTAAATTTTTAAAAATTATTACTTGCTAGTTTATTATTGATGGCGACTGGTTCCTGTTATTGTAATTTTTTAATTTCAAACTCATCCTTTTTGGAATCCTTATTGGAACCGTCTGGTCTTTAATGCGACTATATCCTATAATTAATGTACGATAAACTATAACTCTCAGCGTTGATTCCTCTATTAGCTTTTGGTGTCTTATCTATATTTAAAACTTACCATTAGACTCAATATTATTTAAGAAACTGTCCAAAAATTATAAACAGAAGTTTCTCTTAATGCTTCAAGATTTATGCTTGTATATATATATACCTTGTAGAACGTGGACTGTTTTGCTGTGAAAGTGTATTTGCTCCCCGATTTCAACTGAGCAACTTCGATCATCGCATCGACTATGTCCATTTCGAAAATCGAGCATTTTACTTGTTGCTTCATCGACATTTGCGAAACCTTGTAGATCGTCATTGTTTCAAAACAGCCCTCCATGTTGCCAGACTTATATATCGTCTGGATCCTGTCTCAGACCCACTTGCTATAGTGCTTACTATCGATACGATTGCTTTGAAAGCACGAGAGTATAATTATCTAATTCTTCTGTACAATACATTACAAGTAATGAACTTCATGATATTTCCGTAATGTGACTTGCATTTGAAGAATGCTGTAGCTCATGGCATTAGGCCCATTTCCACAATTCAGTACGCTGTGACTGCATGGCATTATCTTACCTGTATGAAATTAGAGCAAGAAATTGCCTTAAAAAAAAATGAAATCTCATGTAATCACTTGACGTTCGATTAGGTGGTCTGAAAAAGTTAATTTTGTTAGTCATCAAATGTTGGGAAAAAAAAAGAAGGTTCTTAAACTGTTGGTAGTATTGTTATAGAGATGATGCGGAATTTTTGAAATTTATTGAAGGTAGAAGTGGCAATAAATAATTTTCAGGCTTCAAAAAACTTGGATAGACTTCCAAACTTCGCATATTCTGTCGCCCTTGCCTATTTTTCTCTATTTTGCGAAAGTGGAAAATCTGAAGATAAGGAACTTGCTGACTTTATGGTATGATTGTGCTGTTTCAGCGTTACTGATTTGAATTCGGAGTTCAAAACCGCTCCATTAATATTTGAGGAAATAGTTCGGCAGTTGTATTTTAATATCTTCTTTCAAAGCCATTGAAGCAGAGCTAGACTTCCATAGGATAAGATCTCTTTGTTTATATTTATGAATTTTAGATTGCCTCGGCTATTCGACATTTCCCAACAGTGCTACTGAAACTTTTGGATGCAATGAATGTACAGCCTGATCCAACAGTAGAAAATAATGAACATATGAGTGCACTAGCTCATGAGAGGTTAATCCCACTTTTTAGGCAGTAATTTTCCACCTAAAATCTTCGTTTGAACTGAACTAATTGACAAATAGTCAACCTTTTTTAATTTTAATTTCTGTTTTCCATGTTTGACCATCAGAGTCATCAGGAGTGGTAATAAATCTCCGTAACAATAAGTCTTTATAAGTTTAAAATACATACTGAGAACAACTCCTGTATTGTATGATACTTTCTAAGTAAGCTCCTTCTGTATTGTATTGGCTCTTTTAAATCAATAGACGAAAGGGTATCCTTTTTGTTTTATATTTTTGTTTTATAGTCTTTATAAGTTTAAAATACATACTGAGAACAACTCCTGTATTGTATGATACTTTCTGAGTAAGCTCCTTCTGTATTATATTGGCTCTTTTAAATAAATAGACGAAAGGGTATCCTTTTTGTGGGTATCATAAGCATTTGTTAGAAATTATTTTAGCTTAGATTAACAAAAATTTTCTTTCAGAGAAAGTGAGGGAATAAAACTGCTCACATCAATATATGTAAAGCTTGCATCGTCGATTTGGTTAGAGGATTCATCGATTCTTTCATGGTTGGAAGGAGTCACATTAGCCACCGTGTCATCATTCGATAACTTTAAAGAAGAGCTTGCAGATTGGGAGAAACTGTAAGTTCTTCTTCATATTTTAGGACTTCTGATTTTATCTCTTGAAATTAAAGCCCGTTTAATTAAAAAAAAGATCAGTTTGAGATACGGAAATATGATCCTTTGCGTTTTATTTTTCTTCGAAACAGTAGAATGAATCTTCTGGACTGCTTTGTCAGTTCACTTTTGAGTGAGGTAGTTGTCAAACCATTCCTTTTATTGCATTCGATAGTTAGTATTGTCGGGGAATCTAATCCGTTGAACTCGTTATTCAGCGATATAGATTTATTCGGGATGTAATATTGTTCTTGTACAATATTACTACTTAGCAACAAGAAAGGTGTAAAATATATATGTATATATTACACGATGAATTGGCAAGCAGTGATGAGTTATAAAAAAGCAAGCAGTATGATCAACTAACAAATTCCTTGTCGTTGCCTTCGATAATAATTTGGCCGTCGGTTAATTGGTGGGCCGTTGAGTTGGGTATGTTACGGGAAATGTATTTAACGGATAGAAAGTAGTTTGCTATCGTAGTTTGTTGTCCAGTGGTGGCGGATATGCGAGGATGTCATTGTTTGCGGCTCAGTCTAGGGAGGAATTTTGTAAGCTCCATCGGGGTTATCATGGAGGTATGGCTACCCTTTGGCATTGCCTATTGTGTAGGTACTGAGACATCTTTGTTTTATGCAGTCCATTGTTAGCTTATATCCTCTTCATTACTTTAATTTTACTTACAAGATTTCATCACCCTGTCTGTTGGATATTGTGGAAATTTCATTTGAACATAGCTTTAATTTCGGTAATCCGACAAGTATGCCAAATACTGCATAATGTGCTGCGTTCTACCCAGCAGGTAGCATCATATTAAAGCAATTTTTTTTTTTGGACATTTAAAACGAATTGAAAAATGACTTCATAATATAATTCCTTTTTTAAACTTTGACCAAGCGAGATTGGTTAATTTAAAGCGTTAGTTTCAAAATTGAATTCTTTTCCATATAAAAAAAAAAGAGTTTTTACTGTTATGATAATACCGTTTTTACAAGAGTCATTTTGCATAGGATAAAAAGTTAAAGGATGCTGGAATAAATATTTACAGTAGAGGAGAATGGTGATACTTTTGGTTCTATATGACATGCAGAAGGAAAATATTATGGGGAAATTTCAATTATTTTTTAACATCATCCTTTTTTTTAAATTAGTTCTTCAGCTTTGGGTTATCTAGAAAAAATTAGAAAATGTACTGTTACTGTAGTAACAAGTTTCGGTATTAAAAATTTCTACTTAATGTGAAGATAATGGTAAGATAAAGCAGAGGAGACACTTGTAAGTTGAGTAAAAATGATGCATGAAATAACTGATTTTGGTAATAAATGGGAGGAAGAGATCAGAATTCTGGATTTCGTGAATTCGGAGCTACCGATGATGTGTAATTCCTACAATAGAAATAATGACAAAAAGAATAAAAAACGTAAGGGTACGAAGTTTTCAATGTGACTGGAAATTTTGAAACTTACTGCAGAAGGAAAACATGTTATGTTGGAATACCGCGGAACATCGAACGACATGCATACTTATGGGAAGTGACGAGAAATGCGGAATGGATCTTATCAGATCCCGCACCACCGTATAATGGACGAATGATGTATACAAGAATAGCGAATATACCACGGCCTGATTCATTCCTCTCAGGATTGCTGCATTCCGTGTGGCCCAATTACGATCAGGTGAATGTTGGCTTAATTAATTCATACAGAAATATTAATGATGACATTGCACATAGATAGAGTATCACAGAGACACCGAGAGCAAATCTGGAAAAAAAATAACTTTGAGTTTGCAGCAACTTATTTCCTTATTAATAACAGTTTGTCTGCAAGTAATTAATGGTACTGATTTTGAAAAGATTCTTTTTGTACTGCCAGGATATTGAGTTAGTACACTCAGTTTGCTATACTTTCGAAAGGTGCAGCAGCATCAATACTAAGTTCTGTTAGATTGAGTTAACCGATTCTCTGATTAAGTAACGTAGACACTGAAAAATGTGAAAAATCAAATATTTAAAAACGAAGGGGGTCGAACATAGGGTCTCGAAACTTTGATTTTGACGTGTTTAATTCGAAGTCTTTTTAATTTTTCTCTATTTCATTTAATAAAAATTCACACACAGTGAGAGTACGATTCATCGCATAATAAAGTCTATTGAAAAGGTGAAACAATAAACAACAGTCTTTCAATTTTACTTTAGGAAATGTCCGATACATCCTCTTAGTTTTAAGACTTTTAGATTCCTAGTGGACTGGCTTACTTGATTGTAGTGTGGAGGACTATATATTGAACTCTACTTTTATAGTATAGTCTTTGCAAAATTTCGATGCCATAAATGACTTTAAATAATATAAATATTATTAAGGATATAGTGTAGAAACGAAACATACTTTGATAACGTAACGCCTTGTGGGTCGTTGAAAATCATAGCATCAGCACCCGTATCATCTGACTCCTTTTTTTCATCTAGAAAAATAAGCAGAAAATTGCTTTTCTATGGTGTTAGTCCTCACGCTGCAAGGACCTTGTCTTGCCATAATGTTTCTACATC